GTCAATTATCTTTTATTATGTCCCAACTATGAAACAAGCAAATATTACTTGAGATTTGTTTTCATTTGCACCACATATTTGGAAGGTTGACTTCTTTGGGATGTGTAATTTCAAAGCAACTGGATGATTTCACATGTTATTTACATGTCCTTTCTAGCACAGATTTTAATCAAGAATTCAAGAGAAAATACTGAATGTACTAGGCCAAGCTATCATCATTTTTATAACATTCTTGTAATTTAGAGCAAATCTTCAAAAATTGCAGTTATTTCCGTTATTTCACACGCTTGTTAACTCATGGTCTGTTAATCTCTGAAAGTTGATATTAAGACTCAGGAGCTGCATGCTTGTGATGGAATCATTATAGCATTTATCATGTTTAACTGACTGTCAAAAGAAAATAATTTCATTTTAAATCAAATAACAAGCACATCTGCAAAGCAAAAAAATGTGTTTTGGAATTAAATCTTCAATTTGGATGTGCATAAATATTTAGTCGACTATGCACAGGTTTATTGCAACAGACGTACCCTAGTTTAATATAGCCCAAGGAATAGTGTACCAAAATAGTGTACCAACTTAAAGTCTGTTATAAAAAATAATCATGATGGATTGTGATAACAGTCAAACCTGCTTGCTAAAGCCAGCATGTTTCTATCTCCATGGAAATCCAGTTTCACCTGTTTTGCATCACTCAACCCAATCTCCTATATCACCTGATGCAGTGTGTAAATATATTTTTCCATGTCATCACCTAAATCCTACCTGATTATGCCTCAGTGGTTATGGGTCTCATTAAAGTACACAAAATATGAAATAATCAATAGAACAAATATGCATAGAGAAAACAAGTTGAAAGTTCTTATGATAATACTGAAGGCACATATGACATTTTCCGTATAACATTCTCTTATTTATACTCCAGAGAGCTTAACGGATCCACAAGAGATCAGCTAGACTATTTAGTGTCGTCCGATGGACTCCAACACAGTTGCGACATTTATTCCACAATAGGGTCTGGGGTGCTTTGGAGGAATTTGTGTCATTTAGCAAGGAAGGGATAATGTGTTGGTGACAGACCAGCCCTAAGTGGGTATGTCTTGAGCACCATATAGCACATGTTTACTTCTTAGTGAAGTACATCCAACTTGGTGTGTTAAACTGCCATGTGATTACCAGGCCCAAGTAATGCTGAAAGTGGCCCCGCCTTGGTACATTTTGGTTCATTGAGGGCTAAAATACAATTGTGAATGAGAATTCTTCTGATTAAGATTTTGACAGTCTTTGAGTCTGGGTACTGTTGGATTAGAGAGATCAGGACATGACTGACATTCTAACTGGTTCAAATGCCAGGTCCTTCAGTCTACTAATTTAATTGATGATCATGGTTATAATTAAAATGGATTTTGAAAAAAACTTGAGGTGTTAACAAGAAACTTTCTGTTGATGTAGCTTTACTAAATGAGAGCTGATGAACAACACCCCAAGCATCCCCTAATCTGCTTGTTCAAGTGGTGCTAGATGTCCAATTAAAACTTAACTAATTTCACTGCAACAAATGATAATGAGAATTTGAAAGAAGATAAACTGAGATGCACCAAATGGTGTAGGGGGTTTTTTTTGCTGAAAAATCCGTGCTACTTTTGTTTGTTTTTTCAGTGTGTGACAGCAAGAACTTTCTAATAAAATCAAGTACTTTTTACTTTTCATTGATTCACCTGAAAAAAATTACAAAAATAGTTTGAAAATCTTGAAGTAAAAACCCTTGAGACTTCACCCAAGGAAGTAATTAATTTCTAGTTTATTTCTCCATTAGTTACCTGAAATCCTTCCTGAGTAATTATGAAGGATTTTTTTTTTATCATTCAACACCAACTTGGTAACTGACTATGGCTTCCTGTGAGATTGGAGGAGACTTAGGGTAATTACGTAACATCAGCAGATGACAATTTCAAGTACCAGGAGAATGAAGAGCTCACGAGGTCCTCCAACCAAACCAGACGGGCACAGACCTTCAGCAATAGTGCGTCAAAGGGCAGCAGGGCAACAGCCAGTCTCTCAGGTCAACAAGGGTCATTGTTTACAAACGAGAAAAGTTATTGTCAGCTAGGTACAAAAGGTTGAACTTTTGTTTGTAAAAGTGGGAGTTCACTGTCTAGAAGTTTTGGAGTGTAGCCTTCCTTCCAAATATTTCAATGGTGACTAAAAACTTTGAAGCAGACGGCATCAAATTACAATGGGTAACAGTGTCTCTCTATACTGTTTCCAGGATCAAAGAATATCTGAAATTGAATGAAACTTTCATGGAATCAAGTTTTGATGTCACAGAAATTGAAGAAGGTGATATTTTTTGACTGAAGTGTATTTGTATCACACAAAAAGGTGAAACAAGTAAGAAATACTGTGTTTGTGTCGGAGGACTTACACGAAGGACAGATATTATCGCAGGCAAAAACTGTGGATTATTTGTGGAAAAAGGTAGTGGACATTTCTGGGCTTTAGAAGTGAGCTAAGCAAAAGTGATCAAAGTTTGGCTTTAGTTACCACATTTATCAATCAAAGACTGAAATCTCTTTAATGATTCCAACATGTAAAAGTCAGACTTCATGGCAAGGTTGGGAAGTTCATACCACAAAGATGGCCACCAATTGAAGTTGGCTCAATTTTTCAGCAAGCTGTTTAGTTAACTTACAGGGTAATCAGTCACTGTCACAGTTCAGTCCACAGAATGAAAATGGAGGTCAGACAGTAGCTTCAGTTGACTCCAATGTCGCTTACTTAGACTTAACAGTGAATACTTGTCTATGTAACATTTTTTACCCTATATTGTTCAAATTCCAGGCTAAAAACCTTGTCATTTTAGCAATTACTTTATGGCCAATTTGGAAAAAGTTTGTCACCAAGGAGTGTTCAGCTGAAAGTGTAAGGACTTTGAAAAGGAGGTTAGCCATTGATAGGTCCATAGAGAGACAGAGCACAATGGAGCTCTGGTCTTGACCCGGACTCGCTGTCTATTCTAAAGTGGAGAGTCTCAAACTATTTCCAGTCCAAGAGGGAGTTTTGTGAAATGATAGTACTTTAGTGGCAATATTAGGTGAAAATGAATTCCTTCTCTTAACAAAGCACTAGATAATGCCACAGAACAAGAATGGCTTAATGAGGGGGTGGTAACTACAGGTCATTTGTATTCAGTTGTCTCATTTTCTACTGGGTCTATTTGATGCAGCTGTGAGCAGTATTTCAGTTCTTGCATTGCATATCAGCTTGATGGAAGAGGAAAAGTTGGTCAAGGATATTTATCAGATTTATATTCAGTTTGGTAACCCATGGCACCGACAGTTCAAGGATCAATGGTAACCAGGACAAACCTGGGATTTGAACCCATGGCCAGCTTGTGGTCTACGTGCTACAAAAATGTGTAGGGGTGATTGGGTAGCCTAATGGTTAAAGCATCTGCTCGTCTTGCTGAGGGCGGTGGGGTAGCCTAATGGTTAAAGCGTTGGCTCGTCACGCCGAAGACCCGGGTTCGAATCCCCACCTGGGCACAGTGTGTGAAGCCCATTTCTGGTGTTCCCCAAAGTGATATTGCTGGAATATTGCTAAAAGCTACGTAAAACCAAATTCACTCACTCAAATCTTGGTGGAATTACATCATCTGCCATGATTCAATAGCCTTGGGTTCAAATCCTGTTTTCTCTCTGATTATGATCCTTGGTGTGTTGGTTCCATGACCAGTAGAAGTAGTAAATGTCTGGAATCTACATTAGTATTGGCTTTCATCCAACACAAGTCAACATACTTGTATAAGCAGTTTAACGAGATCCATTGAATGCATTAATCTATGTGACTGGTTAGCAAGTTACTCTGTCTTTGGTTGTCTTATAAAACATATTTGTGTACGTCCAGTTCCACAGTGTCAAAGTATTATTCTGCCTCTCCGTAGCTTTGTCCATGCAATGTAGCTTATGGTATTCAGGGTGTACTTATCGGCTCACAAGACTCTGAGTTACAGATCATGATGAAAGCCTTGTCTGTTTGCTGTTAAACACACAGACAAATAGATAATGAAAGAGATTATTTTGATTAAAAGCAGTCTCTCGTTTAAACACTTAGGTGGAGTCCTTGGTTATTTTGAGAGCTCTACCACTTGAGCTTGCCCAGACAGACTTAGAGAGGTCATTTCACATGGTCAGTACATGGTCAATGAAGGGATGTGGTCTGGAGTCACTTGATTCACAATGAGTTTTGAGCGAAAGTTATTTCAAGCTGGCTGAAAATGAATAAAGAGTATAGATTGATGGCAGTAACGTGAATAGCGTGTGTTTGAGTTGTACTGCAAAGTAAGTCCCAACCAATGTTGGACAACCCTGTTAAGCCCCTTGCCTGAAGCTAGTGAAACTAAGTGTGGTCATGTTGATTTGAATCAAGCAGGATTCAGAGCCATGTGGGTCATGTTAAGTTGGCTGTCACTAATGCAGGACATTGCTCAGGTGTCCGAAGACGTAAGGACATTGACGGCACTGACCATTGACATTCTGCTGGGAACAGCGTGAGACATTTATGTCAGTCAGAATATTTTTAGATATTTTCATGTCAAGTTAAAATAATGAGTTCATGTATTGTCCGTTGGTGCCAATTTTGGTAAATGTACATGTTTTTATTGTACTGTTGCACAGTGTAGAAATTATCTTACACCATATCAGTGCAATGTCTGTCTTATCAAATTGTTTCACAATTTTATAACATTAACTATTTTTTTAAATATATATGTTTTCTTTGGTGGCATTTCAAGCTGTTTTTGAGATGGTTTAAAATGATAAACTCAACAGATATTCAGTAAAATTCAATTCACACCCACTCATATTTTTGGGTTCAGTCTGTGAGTTGTTAACACTTCTGTATAGATTTTTCTCAGTCTTTACTTATTGATGAATCTGATGTCAGGTTGAAATACAATAGAATTTTACATATACTTTCCTCTTTTGTTTTTCCAATGACAGTGTCTGACACCAGTGCAAATGCAAACAATGATAGCATCAGTGCTCGTACAAGAAATGGTAAGTTGCCAATGCTTCCATCGTAAGATATTGACTTAGCCTTTGATTAAGAGATTTTCCAAGTACCAACAGAGAGACCTAAAGACAGTCTGCGTACTTCTGAAGGTATTGTCATGTGGGCGGTTTTCCCTTTATTTCTTGGTGTTCTGCAAATAAACCAGGATGAGATTGATTTTGAAATTATTTTAATCCAATTGATTGGAACGTCATTCATGTTGTATGTCATTGGGTTTGTGCATTATCTTGGATAATATTTGTTGATCAGGGTCTTCAGGAAATCAACAGATAATTTTTACATTTTATTGAATTAGCTTCAAGATTAAAAGAAGTATTACTGATTTGTCCAGAAGACATATCTCGTGTTTGACAAATTTATGTTTAAAGAAGAGATTATTTGAGCCAGTATTGTGTAGTAATGGTTTCACTTTTGTCAGTAGAACATCTTTAATAGCGAATGCACAATGCCTTTTAGAAAGTGGTTTAGTGTAACATAACTGAGAAACTGTAATCCCAAATATAACATATGCTTTTTCTGTATCTATGTGTTACATATAAAACCCTGCCAAATATCAACATGTTGGTCTCTCTAAATGTTCCTGAAATCAGTGGAAACCCACTAATAATTCCCTATCTTGGGAAAAGCTTATCATTGACCCTTGCAAATGTCAGGATGGGCCATGGTATTTCCACCATGGTGTAAGGATCTTATGAAAACGAATAGTAGATTTGTTTGAGAATGTACTGACACTAGGTCAGGAACCCTCAATCACTTGTCAGCATCACAGACCCTGATTAGATTGGATGTAGGTAGTGGGTTGTCTCCCTTACTGCTATTGTTAACATCGTCATCATTAGGAATAGGAACTGGTGCCAACAGTGCTTCCAACACCATGTGATGAAGTGATCTGGAGAAAGGATTGTCATATTTGCAAAGAGAATTGTGCTGATTTGTTTGCCGTGTTAGATCTGTGGGTCCTAATGAGATTATTTTTCATATTCCATAGACAATACAGCCTGATCCTCTCAAAAATAGTTCTGTTACTAAGTACATGACAAAGATGCTGGCATGGACTTGTAAGTTATTTACCATGAAGTGGAATATTTTGCTGTGATTGCATTTCTGTCAGTTTCTGCCTTTAAAGTAATTTACGTGACTTGGATACAGTATTTTTAGAATAATCTCAACTAACGATTTGTAATTATTGATATTGTTCCATCAAAATTTCCTTAATGAGGGAAAATTGGCTATTTTTTTTTGAATGTAAGCTCACACAATAGTTTGATTTACTGGTATTTTTGTAGATATTTGGTTGCAAATAACTGCTTCAGTTTCCTTTTGAGACGGACTCACATCTTCAGACTTGCTAAATGGCCAAAGTAGTAAATAGATTAATACCATTGACGCCAAGTTGGTCTCAAGACAGCGGTGCTGTTCTGTCAGATGTTGCCAGTTCTGATATTTGGACTTTTCAAAGAAGTTCTGTCTTCTTAACACAGGACCAAGAGAGATTATTTCTCTAGGTGGTTTTGTGTAGTTAAAATGACCATCACAGATGTCAAACAAAATCTAGGGATTGCAAGTTTACCAAATAATTGTTACCAATACAGTAAACAATAGTTATAATGAACTCAAAGAGACCACTATTTGTAGTTTCTTAAACCGTAGTTTGTTAAATGCATTTTAGCTAAACTATGCAACAAGTGGCCAGCAAACAAAGAACCTGTGTGTTTGTTATGAGTATGACCATCAGGGCTCCAGATAAGGGCCGTATCGGCGTATGTACGGATAAAAAATAAGCCTGATATGGTGGAAATAATTTAGAAAACGTAGCAGATACACACCACAGCAATGGTTTATGGTCTTAGAATCATTTACAGACGTATTTATCTGAAAAAGGTTTGTTTTATTGTTCAACTGAACTGCTTATGCTCGTTTATGAAATGAAACACAAGATTACTGATACTCCATTAAATTCCATTCAGTACTCTAAATGTACTCTTAAGTTTTTCCAGTATTTCTATATAAAAAATAAGGAGTAGGTATTCCTAATGTTGAAAAATTATCTGGAGCCCTGTACATTATTGACATAGTTTACGGCAATATCTGAAATATCTGAAAAAAATATTCTTAAATGATTGCTGAAATGATTGTCATTTTTATGTCACCATTATCTTATATTCTTGTTCAATGTTTGGGGTTGCTTCACACCAATACAGACACTTGTATTCAGAATGTGGGTAAGATTGAAACAAGCAAAGAGATATTTAGGAAATAAATCTGATAATGCCATTTCACCTTGAGCTGGAGTTAATGTTTTAGGTAAACCTGGGTATCAAAATGAATGTATCTGACAAAACAAAAACAAAACAACCTTATTTATCTGGCAAAAATGTGTTTTGTGTAGTTTGGAAAGTTTCTTGCCCAAGGTATGTTTTCAACAAGTTTTAACATGGGTTGTCAAAATCTTGGAACAGCATAAATAGAGATAATGGAATTATCCTTGAGGCCACAGACAGCTGTCTGTATGGGAGGGAGAATATGTTCAATTCACAGAGAATTGTATACTACTTATATGACAAGAATATTAATAATAAACTTTGTTGAATACAGTGTAATGAACTATTCTTAAGCCATTGGGTTATGCTTGGGGGGCTAGGGTTGTGTAACTTCTATTAGGTACTACATTCCAGATGTCTGGTCTGGGCAGGAATGTATATTTTGGCTGGTTCTGATTTCATAAAGTAACTTTCTGATGTAACTTGGCCAGTACTCATGTCAGTGACTATGTGCCATTGCAGACTGCTGTTTATGTTTTGGGAGGTAAGAATTTAATGTAATAAGTATGGTCCACACTGATGGAGAAGGGTTTTAGATGTTGAATCTTAAAGTGCTGAGATGAATAAATGATAACAAGTGCTATATTTAATATCATATCCTTGGCTTACATGGATGTAATGCACAAATTCCTACCTGCTCACTGGTCCAGTTTGCACACAAAATACCTTCTCAGCTCCCTAGGGAGTGTACTGTCCAAGAGCCTGTTTGCATTTACGTAGCCCTTTCATGCTATTGGGTACCCACTTGCTGCATGAAAAGATCCCTATTTCATTCAAAGTCTAAGACTAAGATGTCACCCCATGTTTTAAGACATGTTTCAGTGTGAGGCAGACCTGTAACAGAATATAATCCTGAGTGCTATCAACCACCTGATCCGTAATCCTTACAATGTATATTATCACTTATCACCCTGATCCTTGATATGATCTGACCCGTGAAAGTCCGGTTTAGAATATTGATCTTCAGTAACCCATGCTTGTCATAAGAGGCGACTAACGGGATCGGGTGGTCAGGCTCGCTGACTTGGTTGACACATGTCATCAGTTCCCAATTGCGCAGATCGATGATCATGCTGTTGATCACTGGATTGTCTGGTCCAGACTCGATTATTTACAGACTGCCGTCATATAGCTGGAATATTGCTGAGGTCTGTGTAAAACTAAACTCACTCACTTTATATGATCTTTACTTCTTTCTCCTCCATTCACTCATTTTAGGTTCTCTTATGACTTAAGGAGTATTTCTTGTGACTCAGTAGTATCAGTATCTGAAAAAATCCACAGTGTTTCATGAACCAAGACTCACAACAGAGAGTGTATGTTGATGCCAATGTATTGTCAAAGGCCATGTTAGGAACTGAGTCATATTGGGCCCAAGAATTGTTCCACAATGGTCAGATAGTCATACGTATTTATGTCTCTTGAGGTTTTCTTTTCGGTCATTGCCATCATGAATGTCACATAATCTGCAGATAACTACCCATTAAACAGAATGGAAATTGCATTGTGTCCAGTTACCACCAGTTACTCAACAGTTGCTGCTGAAGTAAAGATAATGAAGTGTTGGGACATATCTAGAAAAGCACAGGACAGCATTAATCAGCACTAGATTCTGAATAAACATCCATGTTGTAGATGGTCTTTAGTTTCCCTGCCTCAGTGTTTGACAATAAGGAAGTCGGTGCCCAAATGTGGATGTCATAGTTTGAGTGATCGTGGAGTGTCTTCCTGGTGCATTGTGGGCCTGCTATCCTCCTGACCTATTTACCCATAGTTCTCACTCTGTTTGTCATTTTCCTCCCATTAGTGTGGGCGATTAAACACCGGTGACCTCTTGCTATCGCCAAGAGGAACTCGCGAAATTCCCTTTCAAAGGTATTAGTTGTGCATAGTGCTTTGACGTTGGTGAAATAATGGCTTAACGTAAGCACCATAGATATTTCCGTGTTGCTCCCCAGTAGATGCTTATTACTCTGTAAAGCCATCAAAACCAATGAGATTCATATTTCCAAGTTCCGTCGAAATGTATTGAGTATGCTTGATTGCACACATGTCCATCAAGCATGCCTTTAACGATTTGTTCATTGCTAAAGGAAGCAAAATTAACAATTTTTTTGGACAAATTGCTTTTTCTCTTGTGCTATTTTTGATTCCTTCTAATTGATGTATTGATTATTTGAAACACAGTTTTTACAGGGCAATCAATTTGACAAGGATTTATATATGTATTTGGGGTGATGAATAAATTTACTGAGGGTCATTTTCAGATATTTCTGTATTACAAATAATAGTGACTGCCTGCTTGTCTATCTCACTGTTGGTTAAATGTGAAAAATCAAATAGATTTTTCACCATGCTGGTGATGGGATGTTTTTTAAATGTAGGTTGTTGTTTTCTTTCCATGAAATACATTTGTCTCACAGGAACTGGTGAAAGGAAAATATTCTAATCTGATACCAGAAAAGTGATATATCTTAGGGTTTTTTTCATTACCAACATGACACGTGGCCAAATAGGGCCTGAATATTGCATGACGTATCATGAGGCCTCAATAACTCACCAACTGCAATGATCTACTCAACCATTCTCTCACCCACTCACTCATCTCACTCATCTCACTCATCTCACCAATCCCTTGGGGCGGTGGGTAGCCAAGTGGTTAA